TAAATCTTCAACCCTTCTCTTGGACCTCTCCTCTTCTTATGCGCAGCTCCTTTCCCTCCATATGTAGTCTCTAATTCCAAGTTTGCCACTATAGACAGCTGGTATCTTTCCAATAATGCTTGGGATCTTCAGCTGAGAAGAGGTTTAATGGACAGAAAATTAGAGGAATGAGTAAGCCTCGCTGTTCTGCTCCAAGATCCCAGTCAAGCCAATGATTTGATTTGTTGGACAGCAGACCCATTTGAGGTATTCTCAGTGAAATCGGCCAAAAAAGTTCATCATCTTGGGAATCCATGTCTCACTTTCTCAGAGAGTTGATTTGGCAAGGAAATAGTACCAAAAAAAAAAAAAGACAATTTTTTTTTGGTTGATATCTAGCCTATGGGAGCTTGAATACTATGGATAGGGCTCAAAAGAGAAATCCAGATCTAGCCGTGTCACTATCTATGTGTTTGACGTGTAAAAGCAATGCTGAAACTAGTGACCATTTGTTCTTTCACTATCCTTTTGCGCAGAAAGGTAGGAATTACATCTGCAATCACTTTGATTGTGCTCGGTGTCCTCCTAAAAAGAATGAAGATGGGCTTTTAGACTTAATTTCAGGATGGTGGTTAAAAAAAGAGTAAAACCCTTTGGACAAAATCTACAGCTATTCTTTCATTCCTTTGGAAAGAAAGGAGTTATGCACATTTCTCAGATACAGTACACTTTTGTTAACTTTTGTGGGCACCTTCATTATACAGCCTCAATTGGAATGCTTTACAGATAATCTTTTGTAATATTCCCTCTGCCCTCATTTTTTTTTTATTTTATTTTATTGGAGGCCTCTGTTTGATCCTACTTTGCACACGCTAGGATCCCTCATCCCTAAGGCTTAGGTTGTGCTTCTGTTTTGGTGTGTATGTATCCTCATTACTGATTAAAAAAAATAAGAAAGAAGCAAAAATAGAAGAAAAAAAAGGGCAATAGGTTAGGAGCAGAATGAAAGAGAAAAATTAGAACCAAGAAACACACATATTGCAATGATGATAACAGTGCACGCATGTTTCCTTCCTTCCCTGCAGCCCAGCGCTTGATAGCAACATCTAAAGACTCGGCAATCCTCTGTCAAAGTAAACAAAATTGGCAGTAAACCAACCAAGCCTTTGGATTTAACCCAAATGAGAACTATACTCGTAAGACAAAATACTAATATGGCAATTTAATACTAACACGCTTCTCTTCTTGCTCGTGCAGTGTTTGAAAGTCACGTTGATTCAAATCAGCCACTGCTCTTGCCTGAGAATCAATTTGGACTACTTTCAATTCAATGACAAAAATATCCAGCAAAGAAGAGAAATCTAGCTTCTTATAAGGTACCCCAAATGTAACAAAGAAGGAAGAAAAAAAAAAGAGAAACACTAACTGCACGCTCTTGGGTCCTTTGTAAACGACCCAATCTGGCTCTTCTTCTTTCTTCACTCTCTCCCTCAACTTCATCAAAATGTCCAAATAAAGGAGCATCTACCATGAGAAAAAGGAGGGATGGGAAAAATCAGAATTTAAAAAATTGGAGGGAAAAAAAACAAATGAGAAAATAGTGATCATTTGCATATAGTCATAGCTAAAGCTGCACTTCATGGTATATCACCTCCGAAAACCGATGTAAGATCATCCACAAGATTTAGAGCAGAAGAAGATTTCTTTATGTTGGATGAGGCTGCAAAAGAAGTTCCTTTTGGTATTTCAGGTGGTTTGTTGTACTTAGGAACGTCAAATAGAGGATCCTGAAAAATAATCCCACAACATTTACAGAACTATCAATCCAGTAGTTCAGGATACTGATAAACAAATACAATATTGCTTCAAGTGCAACAAACTTTCATATTCTTTTTTCTTTTGTGAAAAAATTGGTGGTGTTGAATGCGTCTCACCGGAGTTGTTGTTCGTGACCTTGGAACACTCTTTGATCGAGGACCTGCATTGAAAAAGGAGTCCAGATCGTCTACAGTATTTTGATGATTTACTCCTGCAGCATGTGCATCTTTACCATTTCTATTCGCTGTGTATGTTGAGGCATTGACTTTTCCCATTGCAAAGTTCTCCAATTCATCTATAGGAGAGGAAGAGGAACTCTTAACTGCACAGAGCATCTCGATATTGTCAAATTATGATGAGATTGGACATCAATATTTATGAATATAAGGAAGCTGAAGCACCTTTATCTGCCTTATGCCCTGGCTTTGGTATTGGAGGAACCTTGAATGGTGAGGAAGAATTTGACGGGATGTCAAATTTTGTGCCTCCAGAACTATTGAACTTACTAATTTCCTCCAACGGATTTAAGAAAGCCTTAGACGAACTAAAAGTTGGTATTGAAGTTGATTCTAGTTCTATGAAAGGATCTTTGGCTGAACTGAAAGTTGATTTAGTTGGATGAGAAGTTGATTGCTGGGTCAGATTGTCCAGCACGCTCGCTCTGGTCAAATGAATAATAATAGAATGCATCAGTTTTACAAGTACTCACACGTACGAGAAAAATAGAAATGCTCGAATAGAGACATCATGCATGGAAGTCATCAAGTGAACAACACCATAGAGTGTTTGGCAAAAAGGGAACATAGAGAATACAGAAAATAGATTTCTGCAACAATCAAGAATACTTTTTTCCTATTGAAGAGCGTTTCTGTTGCTGCACCAAAAGATGAATTGTTAAGCCATCATGGTATTCAATAACAGAGGCGATATTATCGGTTTCATTCCAGTAAGATAGTTGGTACTTCGTTAACAACACAATACAATGTTGTTGATTGGAGAGGAAAGTTAAGCTAGCATTAATTCACCTCATAAGGAGAAACAAATGGAAGCATGCTAGCATAGATCACTTGAGGTAAGTAAAGAAAGTCGAAAACATGGGAACCAAAACAAGGAAATTGGTTTAATTGTATGCGTTTTATTATAGCTAATCTTACAGTGTAAGGAATGAAATTGTTATTTTATTATAGGTGCACCCGGTAGCTTCCAATATGAATTGTAAGAAACTAGAAATACACAATAAATTAAGCTAAATTCTACGTCAATCTTTTCCTAAGTTCAATTCACACCCGCACGACAATGGTAGAGCAAACTCACCAACAAGAAGAAGAAATCAAACCACATTTTTCTGGTACCAACAGCATAATGTAGAGAGCTATGCAAGATGATACATTGATTATACCTATTAGTTCGAGAGTTGCCCTTGCCAAAGCCAGAAATCAATTCATCAAAAGTGGCTGCATTGTTATTTGCTGCCTTTTTCAATGGCTTCGGAATTGTTGTCTTTGCCACATTGCTGCCGAAATTACCAAACAAATCATCAATTTGAGAGTTCTGATTCGTAGATGAGGAGAACGATCGGACCGGATCCTCCGTCTTTGTTGAAACTGAGCTCTTGAATCCGGGAATCCCACCAAAAACATCATCATAAGTTGGATCTGAACTCTTCGACCCAAAAAATATTGAATCGTAATCAAAAGAAGACGGAGAACTTCCGGAATGCCCCGAATGTTTCGTTGGCTGATTGAGACTCCCAAGAAAATCACCATAATCATCAAGCCCCCCGGGCTTAGTGTTTTTCTGGAAAGATACGGCATCAAAGCCAGAATCAAACGAGGAATTGCCGTTCAAACCCGAATTATACCCGGATTTCGGAGACTGGAAGGTGTTTGAGGAAGTGGATGCCTTCGATGCAGCCATTGGAGCCGATTTTCCTTGCGGCTTCAATCCAAATCTTTCCGTCAATACCCCAAAATCGTCCATCGCAGACGTAATCACAAAATTGGAACAATGGGGATCACAGATTTAGGCTCGAATTTCCGATTCCGTAGATCTCAACAAAAAGGTAGGGTAAGCGTGAGAATTTTTCTTCCTCTTAAAGCAAACCCAAAATTCTTCAAAGCAAAAGCGAGCAGGAATCAGAACGAAAGGAACTGGAAAACAGCATAAAACTGGAGCCGGAGAAAGGCGGATCCAAAAACGGGATCGCTTGATTACTGTTCTTCAAAACAAATTCTAAGGTGGGAAAGGGCAAAGAATTAATGCAGAAAATAATTGAACCATAAACATTAAAGAAGCTTGAAATCCAGAATGAGAAATTACCGCACGAATAAATTGAGTGGAAGCCACGCGGCAAACACCAACTCTCCTTTTCCCTCCCTTCGTCTTGTCGATTCATTATTTAAGTCAAGGTTTTGACTTTTCCTAACAAATCATTAATTTTAAACAATTTAAATTTAAAAGTTTTTTCTTTATATTTTATTTGAGATGAGAAACATTAAAATAAATATATAGTTACATTTATCTTGGTTGGAATGTTTGTTTCAAATGAAAATAAAATTAATATTCTCTTAAAAAAAAAAAGTACTTTTAAGTTTCAAAATTTTACATTTTAGTCCATAAACCAATATATATATATATAACACAGCAACTTTTTTCTTCATCCGTCTCCTCCTTCGTATGGAGCTATGGCTGATATGGCAACATACAAGACTTTCGTAATTTTCGTGTAGAGATATGGTTGATATGGCAATGTACAAGACTTTAGTAACTTTCTGTAGAGATATGGCAACGTACAAGACTTTAGTAACTTTCGTGTAGAGCTATGGCTAATATGGCAACATAGAAGGCTTTAGTCACTGCAAGCATGTCTCCAATGCTGGATTTGAACTCACCAATATCATCCCAAGATGTTCGTCCATTTTGGCTCCTTGTGTATTGCAATCTCACGGTTTTAAAATGCGTCAGCTTGGAAGAAGTTTCCACACTCTTATAAGAATGTTTTGTTCTCTCCAACTTCTCTCCAACCGATGTGAGATCTCATAATTCACCTGCCCTGAGAGTTTAGCGTCCTCGCTGGCACACCACTCGATATCTAGCTTTGATATCATTTGTAACAGCCTATGTGAGACAAGTTCGGTCTCCTCGTCAAACATTATTAGAAACGAAAGAGAGAGGGACAGCGAGATTTGAGTTACAAAAGCTGATTTCGATGGTTCAAGTGTTCGTTTTCTAGACAAAGTCTCGGGCAATTTCTCATTAACCAAATAAAAAAGTGCATAAAGACAGTGGAGTTAACACCATTGTTAATGTTATGATTGTAATAAACTGTTCTCACGACCCCCTCCTAATACCAAAACAAAAACACGACTACTCAGCACCAGAGGATGCAGCAGCAGGAGGCTAGGGGGTAAAAAGAAAACCTCAAAAACAAAGCCGTTGCTGTCTGAAGAGCTTAGTTTCTTTCCATCTCAGTGCCTTTTGGCTCTAGATTCAGATTTAGAAAGTGCGCCACCTGAAAGCTTGTTCAACTCATACAGCAATCCAGCGGAGAACAAGAAACTGCAGCAGAAGAAAATAATAATGTTATGAAGTTAGAGTTCCAAGATACTCAAAATTTTGGTCCAATCAATAGTGAACTTATTGTTTTTATAGAACTTGCTGTTCTACTTCATAATATAATAGCTATTATTGATCTCAATATTTGAAGAAACAAATGTCTTGGATTGGTGCCTTTCTCTTCTCCTGAAGTATTTGAAATGAAATTACTATTTCGATTCGTGTCTTGCACGTTAAGCCATGATAGGATCAGTTTTTAGCCTTATAATGATAACTTTTGAAACTTTACGATGTCTTTATTATTTTTTGTAGTGGTTCCTTCTACATTCTTTCTCCAAGGGATAGTAGCTATGAAAAACAGTTTAAAAAGGATGTGGATAAGTCAGAATACCATGTTGTGATGCAAACTCTATGAACAGTGCTTGCAGCAATCAATGCAACTGCTTCTGCTACAATGACTGCAAATGAAAAGTAAATGGTTAGTTAATTCTTATTCATCTCCAAGGAAATTGGAAAATGTGGGCACAATGCTGCTGTTCATAATAATTTATAGTCTACTGAATTAGCGTGCATAAAGGTTCTTGACAACCATCAACGAAAATTTATTTGAAATGAAATAACATAAACGAAAAGAGCATCTTAATCCACAAAGTTTCAACCTTTCTAGATCCTTTTTAATCAACTTCCAGTTCCAAATTAAATCAAATGAATTCTATTGGCAGACATTACAACAGCGTATATTACGATCTTTTGACATTCTTCAAAGAGTAGGCTCTTGTACAAAATCAGGACTCGGGAGAGTACTAGTTTAAACAATGAAATTGTCGTTTCATTTCTGTATGATTGACGAATCAAGGAGAACATGATTTACAAACATCCAACCAATAGCATAATCAAAGCCAAGATGAAGATACAAATAATTATTTTAAAAAAATACAAAACTACAGACATAGGTCCATACAGATTCTTTCAACTCGCTCGCGACAATCATCAACATACAAACGCACAAAAGATTTGACTATTGGAACTTAGGCACTCAGTAATATCATAAGAATACATTGTAGCTTCCATGAATGTCAACCTCCCCCAGAATGTCATGATTAGCTACTAAACCTAATAATTATGAACATTTAAAGAGAACAGATAGGTTTTTCTGGAGATAAATATAAAATAAATGAAAAATATATATCAACTCTGCAGCACTAGTATTCGAGAAACTTATTAGGCAGAAAAATATGTGAAGTCAAGAGCACGAGTCATTAAACTTACCAGCTCCCCATCCAGTTCGCATGCCACATGTTTCCTGGAAGTTCCCTAAGAACTGAAATAAATAAATCAAGAAAATGCAAATTATCATGCTGAATCAACAATTTCAGCTGAAAAGCATAAATTAAATATAAATTGAGCTCATAAACTGCATCTTCATGCTGTAACGAAAGCAACAAATTTGGTCTTGAGTTCAATCTTCTGCTTGTACGCGGATGTATGCAACAATCAGCACGTGAGCATAACTTGCCTTTGATCCATAAAATAAAACTGATTCCATTACGTTTGACAGAAAAACCAAGTCCAAAATGTCACAATTATATGCATCTACAAGTTTTTCAAGCTGGTATAAGAATAAAAGAGCGTTCGAACTCACGGTTAGAAGCACTAGAAATAGAAGAGAACTAATGAAACCTCCAAGTATGGTAAACAGCTCCGAAGAAGCCAGTTTTCCTCTATACATCTCTTGAAGTGAAAGAATGACAGTGAACAGAAGAAATGAGTAAAGCATGGAACTCCCAGACCCCGCCATGGCCTTCAATAGTCACAAACACAAAAACGTCATAACCAATAGTCAACTATCAAACCACGAGTAATTACAGCAACAGAAATCACAAACCAGCCAAAAAAAAACTAGATCAGTGATTAAAATGAAGAACAATTCGCACTAACTGAGAATGCATAATCCAGAGATTCAAATGTAAAACAATTACAAAAGGAACATAGAAAATGAGGATCCGAAACAACATGGATAATGAACATCTCAGTTTCATTGGAAGTAGACGATTAGTTCAAGATAACCTAGTTATAAGAATCGACTAATCAGCAGTAATCCAAGTCGTGCAAAGATAGATAATCTGAAGCAAAAACCAATGGAAGATACAATTCAGTTCAAATTCCACTCAATGGGGTCGAAAGAACGGTAAATTTTAGATCAAGATCATGATTTCCTCCACAACTAGATGGATCGAAAGAGTGGTAGGCAAATACCTCTCAAGCAGCAGCTCTATCGCAAAGGCTTTCGGTTCCTCCTTCGACAACGCGTCGACGGTCTATGTTATGTCGTATACCGTTCTGGCAAACCTGCGTCTAATACTTCGCGAGAAGTTCAGAACGTGAAAACGGTGTCGTATCAATTTTTGTATTAAAAAAAATCAATTTTCTTCCCTCAAACTAATTATCAAACAATTTTATAAATCCATTTAGATCTTTCATTAAAATTTCATTTTAAAATCATTAATATATAAAACTTCTCTAAATAAAAATATTAAAATCAAACAAGATAGCAACGGTTTTTTATTAATATAAATATCTTTTATTTTATTTTATTGAGGCGATTTAAAATTTTAAAATAATTTAAATCAATACAATTATTAGAATAATACAATTTTTTTTAGAGGAGAATTCAAACGATCGAGATTATATAGCTTAACCTAGAAACCAATATAACTTCATAGTAACTTAGTTCGTCATCAACTAACCCCAAAATAGTCTAAATGTTAGAGTAAACTCCGACTAAACTCGATCACTTGATAATAGGGTATAGGAGGTCTTTTTTAGTGCATCTTTTTCATATCAATCAAGCGGGTCATACTAATCTACTTTAGCTCAGCTAATGATGAGAGATGATCTAGATTTGTCAGTAAACGATGGAACTCTCACGATGAAGAAAGAATTTCTTTCGTAATTAAGCAACATCAGAGGTGCGTTGGGCCGCCGACGAATAATAGGTATCCCACCCCAGGCATAGTTAATGAGCTGTATAACAGACGACTATTTCGTACGGCTCTGAGGGCACTTGAATCAACCTTCGAACGGTTCTGAGGGTACTTGAATCAACCGCAGGCGCCCGATAGCAAGATTCAACAGCATAGATTGAGAACCATTTCCATGAGACAGATGAAGAAATCTATAATTGATTTATCTTTTTTAATATCCATTAAAAAATAAATATTCTAATTTCTATCAAATGACAGTATACAACCATTTTCTCTTTCACTTTTGATGAGAAAAAGAAAGTGAACTATTTACTATAGAGACCAAATTTTCTATATCTGTACAGTGATTTACATAACCTCATTGATTAGAGATGAAGTTGAAAGTGTGGCTATGGCTGTGGCTTCAAAGGGCCTTCTGATCAAGCCTTTCATTCCAGTTCAGGCACCGAATCAAGCTGCGAAACCAATCACCAGTTTGGTCAGACTTGTTTACTGTTGGGAGTGGATGCCTGCTCATGGATATCTTAACAGAATCTCCTCTTGAGAGTTGCTGCCTTCTCTTTCCATCGAACGAAACCCACGCATTACTTCGGGCGTCCTCGGGAATCTGTCAATACAAGTAGAGTCATCCATGGTTAAACCGATAAGCGAAGCTAAAGAAGTATGCATCTGATCCCTGTGTCGCGTTATATGTAATTGGAGGTCGAGGAGATATTTGAATCTTATAGATTAAAGAACTTAAGGGAATGTATGTATGAATTAACACGAGCCTGTATCGATACTCGATAGCATTGTTCTAAATGAATCACCTTTAACTCGAGTCGTGCTGAGTCGGGAAGTATAACTGGTCTAAATGAGAGAGAATGGGGGCAGATTGGAGTGAAAAGCATGCAAGGAACATTCGGATGCACCTGCAACATTGAAGAATATCAGCTCAAAATGCATAATAACTTCGTTTCATGTTTGGGAAAAATCAGTCACTCAAAAAAACGTGTCTTTAATCGTTGAAAATCAACTTAATGCTTGATTTTATACTTTTAAACGCGATTTTCCAACCATAAAAATGATGATATAATTTTAACCTTTTTAAAATCACTCCCAAGTATGTCCTAAAAGCGCACTCGGCATTTTTCTTGCCTTCTAATCAAACAACTTCCTGTATGACATATAAAGAAGTAAATTTGCCAAGAAATACAAACGTTACGAGTAAATAAACTTATCCTCTATAGAAAAAGAATTATATTTTCAAAGAAATACAGAGCCGTATCACTTAAACGAGGTAAACAAAATCATCTTCTACAACAAGGAAGCGTCATAATGACATTAATTGCAGTTGGAATTTGGATAATGAAAACAGCAATCCCAGAAGAAGAAGAAAAAAAGGTATGGAAAATTTAACAAGGGAAAGAACACGAGATATGTTAAGATTTCTGCATAAGATGCACGAACACTTCGAAAACCAGTCATAAAATAAAACATTTTCATGCATCACAAGTAAAAAATGTGAATCATATTCGTATGATTTTAAACTTAGCCAAATCAGTAATTTCATCCAAGCTCTCAATGATCAAGAACTACGGCTTCCATTATGCATACATATCGCCACTACTTCAGAATGTGGCATGTAAAAAGAAACCCCAAATGTACAAGCAACAATGCATAATGCTTTATAAAACCAAGATTTATATAAATTAGTTTTGAGGGAAAAAAAAAAATCTTTCGAGTCGGTAAAAATCAATTGCATGCGTGAGACGAAAACATTAGCTTACCATAGAACCCCCTGCTGCAGTAGAGTAAGCAGTGCTTCCCGTAGGTGTGGCCACAATAACTCCATCGCCCTGGACCTGAAATGCATTTTCACACAAGAAGTAACCATCTTATAATTGGTGGCTGCAAGCCAATGGTTTTAATAATATCAATCTTGAAGATAAAATGTGATGATCTACATATTAATTGGACTAGTTTTCGAAAAGGAAGCCCACCTTTGTTATGAGACGATCGTGTTCATAACATTCAATTTTAGAAAGGTACGGATTGGAGCCTCGATCAACAACAACCTCATTGAGAATATTAAATACCTTTCCAGGAATAGCTTTGCCATTTCGAAAAATTTCACACTGAAGACGCATTCTTAGAGTTATATAGACACCATCCAGTGAATCATTTCCATGAATGACTTGTCTTAAGTCCTGCCTATAACTATCAAACTGTATCAAAAAGTAATATTATCAAACAAATAATAATTAGTGTTGAAGTCAATCAAAAGAATCTGAAAAGCCTGAGTCAAAGAGCTTACAGTGTGGGAAGTCAAAAATCCAAGAGAGCCGAGATTAAACGAAACAACCGGGGGAACAGCACCTCTAAATATATTTGATGCATGGAGAATAACCCCATCTCCACCTAAGCAGGCCACAAAATCAACTTTCTCATGTAGGTCACTGCACTAAGCATACAACAGGATAAGCAAATCCCTGAAAATGAAAACGTCGACTAGTACATCAATGTAATCATATTTAAGATTGAAAAAATGCAGTACCTGGTGTCTTGACTATAAAAGGTTTGGACAAATCCAAACCCTGGAATTCTTGCAAATATGTCATGTACGTCAGGTTCAACAAGAACATTCATCTTCTCTTGATGATACATGAACGAGGCTACCTGCAAAGATGAGAGAAAAGGTAATGTTTAAATAGACAGGAAATAATCACAAATGAAAGAGAAACATCCCAGGTCAGAATTTGAAGTTTCACAACAGTCCTCCATGAATATTGGGAAGCCTTAAATTGAACAAACACAATATTATAATTGTCATGCTTGATTTATTTCACTTTAAGTTTAGAGAATAAAAGATTTTGAGCAATAGTCCAAGCCCACCGCTAGCAAGTATTGTCCTTTTTGGGTTTTCCTTTTCGGGGTTCCCCTCAAGGTTTTTAAAATGCATCTGCTAGGGAGAGGTTTCCACACTCTTTTAAAGAATGTTTCATTCTTCTCCCCAACCGATGTGGGATCTCGCAATCCACTCCTCTCCGAGGCCCAGCGTCCTCGCTGGCATTCATTCTCTTCTCCAATCGATGTGAGACCCTCCAATCCACGCCCCTTTGGGGCTCAGGGTCCTTGCCAGCATACCGCCTCGTGTTCACCCCTCTTCGGGGCTCAGCTTCCTCGCTGGCACATTGCCCGGTGTCTGGCTCAAATACCATTTATAACAGCCCAAACTCACCGCTAGCAAATATTGTCCTCTTTGGGCTTTCTCTTTCAGACTTTTCCTCAAGATTTTTAAAACGCGTGTGCTAGGGAGAGGTTTTCACACCCTTATAAAAAATGTTTCGTTCTCCTCTCCAACCGATGTGGGATCTCACATTTTGTATATGCAAATATGTGTCACTTATACAAAGAGAACCTATTATTATTATGGAAACAAAATAATAACAATAAAGACAAAAGATCTGACAATTAATATTTACAAACAAATAACTACAATCATTAGTAATTAGCAAATCCAACAATTTCGAAGTATTCTTCATGGTTTTTCACGTACTTTCCGGTCTTCGACTATGAAGAGTCCAACAAAAAGAAGAGACCAAAGTAAGAACAAACGCACGAACTCCACTTATTTTCTGACATAACCAGGACCTATACATTTATAAGTTCGATTGAATGTGTATACCAACAGTACCTACAGTTCACCATTCCCTTAACAATTAGGGATGTAATTTTCCATGTAAAATTATAAATCATTTTAAAAATGAACGGGTATATTCCGAGATTCCAAGTTCAGTCTTTATGTTACCTCTTTAGCTTCTTCCATCAGCTCTTCACCCAGCTTTTTCAGAAGTAATACAGTCCTAGGAGTGGATTTCCACATGAGCATCTGTTGCTGGGTACTAGGATGAGTAAAGGCCAAAGACGATTCGGTCACTTTTTCTCTGGCACATGAGAATCCATCTGTTCGAACTAAAAACATCTCAGCTTTCCTTCTTGATTGCACCCTTACAACACCAGTGGCAGAAGCACACATATTCCCCTCGACAGATTTCATTTCATCATTGCTAGAAACTGAAGTTGCTTGACCATTGCTCTTTAAGCTGTTTGTTTCTGCTTTAGACTGAAATTTATCTCCAACAGCAGTAGAGGCTTCAGTCATCAGAGGATTCCTTCCATCCACTCCAAGTTCATTATGAACAGGATTGGAAGATACATGACTATCACCATTTACATACCTCATATTTGTAGTAGATAAATAATGAGTCGATGAGGACGTCTCTTTCACAGTTGGCCTACCATTAGTGTTTCCTGCTTCAACAAGCCCAGATTTAAGATCACTATTGTCAACACTAAATTTTTGAACTCTGCTCATAGGTAACTCCGTAGAAGGTGGCCGTTTTTCATTTGTTTTCATTTTACGGTGCAAGTAGTTTTGAGGAGAAATTTTTTTGGTCCTGAAAAAGTTGGACATTTCTTTTCTTGAGAAAATATTGCATGGAGGAATCTGAGCTTTCAAAGGGTCAGTTGCAACACTAAATTGAGACAGATGCTCTTCCCCATTATGATCTGCTCTTAAAGATGTCAGATCTTGTGTAGGAATAGCCCCGTTGAAAGCTCCATTTTCATTCTGAAAAATTTTATCAGCTTCTGCATTATTTTTTCTGTTAATTGAACGATGATCAGCACTTTCTAGCAGCAAAGATTGACTGTTTTCATCGCATGAAGATGTTTTTTCAACTGTAGAAATTTCCAGAGATTCTTTTGCTCCATTTGGATTTTGTACCAATTTGGGAGAGGTGTCTCCAAGGGGAATATCGGCTGGAACAATTGTCTGATTAGAGACAAACTGTGATCCACTGCGAGTCGCATATTGCCTCCATCTAGATATCATGGCCGATGTTCTCCACACGCCCTCCTTACTATGAAGATAGAGCAGCCCATTGCTGCCATCTGAAACCAACGATGCAAACTTCTCGACCTGATCCGCTGTTGGTGCAGTCCTAACTTCAACAGGAATCCTGATCACTTTAACTTTATCCGAACCAATAGCATCATGTAAGGATGCACTATAGAATATATCCTTCACTGTCTCTGCTCTAAGATCAACAATCGTTTTAAATCCTCTCTCAATTAACCACTTCAGACCTTCTTCTGTTATCTGACCACCACTCCAAAAGGACACATCAGAATTTTTGGCGGACACTTCTTCCTTGGAGTTATGTAGATAAACAGGATTCCAATTGGCAAACAATGTATGGCAGGGATAATCCTCCCCTCTAGGAAAACCAGAATCATAACAGACATTCTTCAGCCTCTGAAGTTTCCTCCATACATCCCAACTCCGGTCGTCATCAGGAGTCAAAAAGTTTTCAAGAGCAACATGCAAGCTTTCACAACACCTTTTCATCTCACTCCTAAAGGCAGCAAGTGGAGGAAGATTATCCTCCATTGCATCTAAATTGTCACCCCGGAAAGCATTCATGGCAGATGATCTTCCTGAGAGTACATCCTCCTTTCCTTTGTTTAGAAGCGATACTATGCAACCAAGTACAGACACTATTTTATCCTCAATTACTGGATTTTCCCCTGGAGTAACATCGTACGAAACGCTACATTCACCAGTGAAAGGATTGCAAAGAGTATCCATCAGCACAGAGTGAAGTCGCTCAGCAGTTCTAAAGATTCTACAATATGCCTCAACTTCAGCAATATCGCCAGGAACAGGACCCATCCATGATAACTGTAATAGATAAAAAATGGGAATGGCTTACATTCGAAAATCAAAGGGGTAATGTTAAAACACAAAACGAAAATCATCAAACAGACTATTATCTCCCTACACGACCAAATACAAAATAGGATAAAATGAAATCATACCATAAGACAACAGAACGTGCAATTGTAAACTGTAAACATCATATGAAGTACTGAACGAGTTGCTCAAGTTCACCAGAACTAAATATATAAAAAGCGAATTAAGGGTCATCTCAAGGAGGCATTCATTGGTTTAAATAAGCAGGAAAATTCGATCTACAAAGACGATGTGGATAAAGTTCGACAGTGGTGGGGGAGGCCAGGTGCCAGAAGCAGCAAGAAGATAGTTGTAGCTGATTTATTGTATGAAACAGCAAAATCCGAACTTCATTTTTGATAAATACGCCATTTTCTACTAACCTTCAAGATTCCAAGCAAACTTGTATATAATAATAACTAGCAGAGAGCCTCCAAATGCTAAAGAACTAAGAAGACCAACGGATTATGCATCAAATAAAAAAACAAGGATAGTAACACAAACTCATTGCCACAGCATCATGCTTAATCACTTTGCCACAGAGACAAAGAAATGAAAATCTCCAACCCTCTCGGCCAATTAATCGAAAGCACGACGAAACTGAAAGATAATTAGAAGAACAATAGGCAATTAAAGTAAGAGACCTGAAATTCGGAGGCAGAATTAAAGGATACAGACTTGGAGAGCTCCGCAGTGACAGCAAACTTAAGCCGCCTCCTGAATCGCCTCCATGTGTGCAATTGGAAGCCGAGAAATCTGGCATTATTAGAGGAAGGAAGGAGAAGACGAAAAGGGGAAAGATAGGGATAGGAATGGATCACGGTGGCTGGTAAAGAGCGATTCATAACCGACGGCGATGGCGTCCAAGTGCCACACGAAGCAACATAACAACATGTACAGTTTGGTGAGCTCGTTGTGTATCTCTGTTCCGATTTTCAGAATTGAATAGTGGAAGAAGGATGAAGAGAAAACGACTGGATGAACTCGTTGGGGAAAAATGGCGGGTAGTGTCGGATTTCAGATTTCAGATTATTTCATTGAATTCTTTTGTGGTTGGTATTTTTAGCAATCTTCTTTTTCCGGAAATTTGATTTTTTTTTTTTTTTTTTTTTTAATCAGTGGATTTTAGGCGTTTGGCACTTTCTAGAGACTCTCACTTTTTAATTGNAATTTGTTTTTTTTTTTTTTTTTTTTTTTAATCAGTGGATTTTAGGCGTTTGGCACTTTCTAGAGACTCTCACTTTTTAATTGGAGAATAATTTTTATTTCTTCCTTTTATATTCTCTTCACACAAAAAAATAATTTCTTTTTTTTTTTTTAGTAATAATTGGTAAGTCAACCAAATTTTTTATTACATTATAAAAAATTATGAAAATTATTTAATGAAATAAATAAAAGTGTCGATTTGATTTATATTTGGTCATATGTTCCCTTCCTCGAGTTTTTTTGTCTTCGATATTAATTTTAGTATAATTAAACTATTTTATTTATGAAGTAATTATGTACTTATACTCAAAAAAAATATAAATTATTAGAAATATATTGTTAACTCCTAATAAATAACACGTCACATTAATAATAGAATTTGGAGACATTAAATTGAAAAAAAAATATATAGTATTCACAAGCACGTCGAATGGCTACAAAAAAATAAAAGTTCAAAATATATACTTGCCTCTTATGTCATAGATTAATTGATCAAAGAATTATACGTGCCAATTTGTCGATAATCTAGACTCTTCGAGATCGAGTGTAAGATTCAAGCATTAAAACTGGAATTTTATGGCATGAAAACTCTAAACAGTCTATAAGGCTAAAAAATTGGAGAAACAAATAATTTGAAGCTTAAGAGAGGGGAAAAGAGGGCCTTCATCAAATTGACTACTTGCCAAATAAAATTGCTACTTCAGCTCTCCCTAATTTAAGATACATTTCTTCTAATCCAGAAAACCCAATGCACGAACATGTAATTACAAAAATGGCTTCTTTTTTCGTTGGCTTTTCGCGGGTCGATAAATGAAACCCGAGAGTAAGAGAAGAGGAGGGAGAGGGGAAGAAAATTTTGTGGGATGGAATGAGAATGGTGATGTATGATAGAACATTATTATGGTGTAGATTAGACTCATGGGAAGTAATGTCAAGTTAGCTCGACTGTTCCAGACTTGGAGGAGCAGCTGATTGAATGTTTGCCTTGTGAGGAAGACTGGCAGTTGGCTTGTTGATGGACTTGTGTTTTTCGTCTCCGTGTTGGACGGGCGCCTTCTCGGGAAAATTATGAGTTTCATCCAACTCCAGCTCTGCCCTCCTCTTAGCCTTTTTCTTGGTTAACGCACCGTCCACCATTCTCGCATCTTCATGGGAACTGCTTGAGCTTCCCTTCAACTTATCGGATTTTAGCCTTTCTAAATTTCCAACACTAATGGAAGCACTTGGTAGCTGGGGCATTGTAGCTGATGAAACAGATACAGGCTTGGTTGCTAGGGCTGGCTGTAAAACGGATTCAGGGGCCAATCGCTCTCGAGCAACTGAACTGACCTCGGTTCTAACAGTCTCGTCTACTCTAGGTGGTAATATCTTTTTCTTCTTGACTTTCTCCTGATCCTACAAAATTGAAGTGAGTGCAAAAAAACAACGTTATATGGAACAGCTAATATTGATCCAGAAACGTGACACTATGATCTTAAGTTCATAGAATATCAACACAATGTGGATGGGCATAATTCGCACGTTTTTGCTTTTTTTTATCGAGATTGGGTCGGTATTCAGCATCAATATAAGATCGTAAAAGAATTCATAGCAGTCCAAGTGAGATGTCTAAGATAAAAAGAACGAAGGGAAGAATCGACCAGCTTTTTAAGCCCCAAACTCTATCTCAATGAAATAGAAGAATTTGTCCACTAATGGTTACATGCCCCTAATAAGAGGCAAGTGTCTCATTTCCGAATCAATTATAGAGAAAGGGAATGAACTGCCATTCTAAGAACTTCCCAAAATTTCCTGATAGCTTAAATGGGGAATGATAGAGAAAGAGAGATTACATTACCTTGTGTTTACCATGCAACGCTCTCCGCCTTTCTTTTGCTCTACATATTGCACGTTTGATCCCATGATTATCCATGAACCCATTTGGCCATAATTCTGCAAGCTGCAAAGATGATAGCCAATCACACAAGTTAAAGGAAGCACGATTTTAAAACTAAGATATTGATAAGAAGAGGAGCGATAACTAAAATTGGAAGATTTGACATTATATTGGGAAGAAAGTTCAAAAAACTTGAGAGATACTACACACAACTGATAAAAAAGACGGGCAATTAATTAATCTGACACAATGTGAGCGTGTAAAGTAGTTCAGTTCAGAAAACTTAATTGCAAAAATATTCTATTAGATAAGAAACCACTCCATTGAACTTAAGTGACAAACTAAGCATCCATGAAAAACAAACTAACTGACTGCTTCTGTGACATGTTTTGAGACCGCTTGTTAAAATCCTCATACCCCCTTCGCATAATGATGGAGGCAGCAATCAGCAATAAATAGCTACATGAGAAATTGAAGAACAAATGAGAGAACAATTACCTCGGCATACAACTTTCTAATTTGTGGACCAGCATCCTCATCCAGTCCCTAGAATCACAAAGAAGAGACGTAAGAAAGTTTAAAGCTTATCAGAAAAGAAATCAGTCGAAGGTCACTCGGAACATGAAGCAGTACATCAACAAACAGATCGTAGAGATCACAAATCTTGTCCTCCAATGCAGGATCCATAGCAAATTTCTTTCTCGGAACTCCTTTTTCTTCAGAAACAAGTTCACGGATATCGTGAAGTGCTCCTGTTTGTTGTTCGATTGCCTGAAAGATGATACTCTATTAACAATGTAAAATGAAAATCGTCTTAAAAGATATATATACTAAAAATTAGCATTACATATGTGAGGGCAGGAATTTGCTAGGAAGCTTACTAATGCCTTGACTGCAGACAAGTTGAAAATTATTACTAAATAGTCAACAAACCCCAAACTTATATAAATTAGCCCGATAGGAATATGATCTACATTAGACTGAAATCAAGGGATTTTTCAATAGCTTGTCTGCAGACTAATTTTGGAAAAAGGTGATCACGTTCTGCAGAATAATTTAAAGAAAGGTAATCATGTTCTGCAGAATAATTTTGAGAAAGAATCACTTGGGGTTTGTTATGCTCAAAGTTAATTTACATCACTTAAAATTAGTATGCAGAAACTCTGATTTTTTAAGGAAAAATAACCTCAATCGTTCTAGAAAACAAACCCTTGCAAAATAAAATAAAGTGACGAAAATAACTTTTCAAAAGCTAGTCTAAACATGTCTCACTAAACTTCTCAAACGATAATTTTAAAACTTAGCTCTCAAACAGCCTTTAAAACTGTCAAACTTAATTCCCAAACAGCCCTTAAAACTGGAAGAATGAACCTTACTTCGAAATCTGATGGGCCTCTCCTTAGATACATATTCTAGAAGAATAATAAGGGATGTATAAAAAAAATGCTGGTGCAATAAATGAGAGATTTTTTTCTGTTTTTCGTAAGACCCGTGCTTCCACTGAGAAAAAATGAAAGGAGCCTGAACCTTACAGCAAAAATGACTCCAATCCAAAAGAACAAGACCAAACTCATAACTACAAAAAGATCTAGCGACTGAAACCCATATGAAAATATTAAACCTCGCCACCTCGCCACCTCCCATACCTCTCCACCCAATCTCTCCACCTCTCTATTTTTCTTTTTCATCCAAATACCCCCACAAAATTGAAAAATGCAAGTTTTTCACAAAACTGTCTTCACCCTAAAAGGAAGATACAAGAGCACCTCCTCCAACATTGATCTACCATCTTTATCCCAAGCCCCCAACGAGATCCAACAGAGACTCAAAAAAAATTAGCAAACTGACAATCCCACGACAAATGATCAAGGTCCTCCCCATGCCTCCGGCAAAGAATGTATCATTACAAGAACACAAAGGAAAAATGTCTTTGGCAGGATCCAAGATATTAATTCTCCTAAATAAAACCTGCCACGTGAAAACTTTGACCTTATTTGGAATTTTAACCTTCCAAAGAGACGAGAAAACAAAGGCAATCAAGGAAGGAGAAGGGATACGCATGACATGAAAGAAAGAATGAAAAGAGAACTGCCAAGAAGGATCGGGAGACTTCAGACATCCCTTTTCCCTAAAAACAGAGAAAATTGTAATTAGCCAACAAGATCAGAGTATACCAAACATTAAAGGCTTCTACTTGCTACCTATGGGTTATATATCATACCTTGGACATCGATTGCACCTCGATCTAGGGATCCAATGTAATAGAGAAAATTGTAATTAGCAAACAAGATCAAGTAAACCAAACATTGAAGGCTTCTTATTAGTCCTCCGTTTGCTTCAAGACCAAGACTTTGATGGATTAATGGGATTAGAGCTTTTATTGTCAGAACTTTGGATGGAAAGAAATCAGAAAATTTAAGACAAGTTGTTGCCTTGGACAGATCCTTACGAATCACCATGCTTAAAGGCTTCCTCTTGGTGCACTCTTTCTAAATCTTTTTCTGATTTTTCTGTACATGATATTAGTTTTAACTGGTATGCCATTATTTTTCTTTTGTAATTATTTTTATTCTTATTGTTCTGTGTTTTTTTTTTTTTTTCCACCCTTTCTGAAGTTTGTATCTTCAGCAATAATAGCCTCTTTTCATTACAACAATGTAAAGTTTTGTATTTTGTTCAAAAAAAATCTACCAAACATTAATGAAAGGTAAGCTGCAAGCTCAGCAAGAGAAAGGCTTGTGTTTTGTATCTAAAAGCATTAGTTTCTTTTCACTATATTTATTTTTTAAAACAAAAAAAGGCTAGTGTTTTAAATGCGATCAAAGATAATTGGTGAGACTATGCATAACTTCATCTTTGGAGAGATCGTGCAAGAATTGGAACGGTCAACCATCAAGACCTCCTATTACAGGGTAGATATTTCAATCAGTGCTCCTGACGCTATAGGAAC